CCCAGCAGTCATTTGTTTCCCATACCACCATTGTGTAGTGCCCATACCACCATCATTTGGTGTCCATGTCCCCATCATTTCTTACCCCCATCATTTGGTTCCCATAGCACCAACAATTGGCTCTCATACTCCCATCATTTGGTACCCATACCCCATAAATCGGCTTTTATGCCCCCATAATTTGGTTCTCATAACCCCATAATTTGGTTCCCGTAGCACCATCATTTGGCTCTCATACCCCCTTTAATTTAATGTCTATACCTTTGCTTTTAATGCCCATACCCTATCATTTGGTTCTCATACCACTGTTTAGCTCCCATGCCCCCATAAATAGTTTTTCATGCCCCCATAATTTGGTTCCCCTACCCCCAACATTTGGCTCTCATGTCCGATCATTTTGGCTCTCATACCCCCATTATTTGGTGTCCACACCCCCATCATTTGGTGCCCAACACCTTCTCATTTGGTGCCCACACCCCCATTATTTGGTGCCCACACCCCCATCATTTGGTGCCCAATACCCCCATCATTTGGTGCCCAACACCTTCTCATTTGGTGCCCAACACCTTCTCATTTGATGCCCACACCCCCATCATTTGATGCCCACACCCCCATCATTTGATGCCCACACCCCCATCATTTGATGCCCACCTCCCCATCATTTGATGCCCACCTCCCCATCATTTGCATTGGTTTTGGTGGTTGCTGGCTGCACATCTTCTGTCTCTCAGGTGTCTCTTTTCCCTGATTTTTTTTTGTCTGCACTTTTGGTCTGATTTCAGCCGTCACTGAGTTCTGTAAAGAGCGAGCTACTCATCCTATCCATCATGCGGAGTCCGAGTGTGAACGGGCGCCCCACTCCAGATATCGGCCTTCCATATCGGTGACCTTAGGCTGTCATTGCCTCTGCTTCGGAAGCCATGCAAAGCTGAGGTATCAGTCTAGGGTGGAGCAGGCCTTTCATCTCCGGCGGCGCGTCTTCTGTTATGTCCGGGCGCTGCCGGGTTAATAGTTTCCACCCGCTGTCTCTCGGCGAGTCCGGGCAGCGTGGTCACCCCCGTGTGACGCCACTTCTAAATGTGTTTAGCTAACGGAGCTCACCTAACGGATTATCGGAGCCTCGTGAGTAATAGACTGCCCATTTACTTCTAATACATTTTGCATAGAGAGCAATCAACCTCCATCACTCTTTAAGATGAATCGCCGGAGCCGGCTAAATTTTAAAGATATTAGCCTGACAGCAGCCTCATAAATCAGAACGTTTTCTTAATGACGGTAAAATTAAAATATACTCTGCCTCCCCGAGAGCCAATGAAGTCTCTCCGCGCGGAAGAGAGAACAGCGAAACGCGCGCGCAAAAAAAAAAGAAAAATTAGTGGAAAGATTAATTGGTTTTATTTAGAAGGCGGAGGAAGGAGCGGCGGGCCCGGCGACGGCGTGAACGTTTGTTTAATGCCGGAGAGTAAACAGCGCGCGCGAGGGGGCCGGCCGCTTCCTGAG